CCCAGAAGGTAGACTTGGAGGACATCCGGGTCATTCTGTTCTCCCAGTAAATATGGTGCAGGTGCTACACCAAAAAAGCAAATTCAACACCTGGTCATAACATGAAAAGAACCATGGATGGATGGATGGATGGATAGATGGATAGATGGATAGATTTAGCTGTTTATAATCATTTGCCAGATTTTACATCCGGTCTTTTCTCCAAGAGCTCAAGTTAGCTTATCTGTCAGTCTTCCTTCATTTGAACTCCACACCTGCAACTTTGACATATATGTTGGGTTGAGATACACAAGATAATCCTAATCATGAGTCACCAGATGAGTTTAGTGATCAAGTACAAACTTGATCCAGAACTAAATGAAGAAATAAACATTATCCCAGGCTGACTGTGCAACAATTATATCAATGCTCAGCTCATTTTTCACCCAACTTTTCTTTCTGTGACTCTGCTGGCTTTGTGGTTTGTGTTAGGAGAACTGCTCCCTTTCTGACAGCTGCACTCCTGAGGCAGAGGCTGCTAGGGTGGGCCTTGTACAATATTTTTAGGGGTCCCTTGAGAGGAGAAGTTGAGAAGAAGTGGCTGCAAGGTGGAGCCTCTTCCTCTCAGCTTCTCTTCTCAAGGGGACCCCTGGAGAAATTGTACAAGCTGGAAGGCAGATGGAGTCACTGTGTGCCTTGTACAATAATACAAGGCAGAGTCTTCAGGCTTCAAGCCGTTCATCTGGAGAAGAGCTAAACTTTGAGAATTGTCCCTGGAGATGGTGAATCTTCCTTTGACTTTGGAGTGGTACCATTGGCTACTCCCTGCACCACTAATTCCAGCCACCCACTCCAGTCCTTCTTCTGGAGCCTGACGGACCCAGTGTATTTCATGGCTTGCAAAGGTGAATCCAGATGCCTTGCAAGTTAGGCGGAGGGAACCTTCAGGGGCTACCATACCCCCTCCAGTCTCCACCAACTGAACTTCTGAGTGACACCCTGAGAAAGAAACATAAAGAGGGGATCAGGGGGGAACTTGAAAAGGAGAGTTTTTCAATTGTCATCTTTTTGTTATGAGAGAACATCTACCTGAAAGACTGAAGAAGAAGAGAAGGAAGATGCAAAACATCCTAGCTGTGACACTGTTGTTGTCTCTTGAATCTAATTCCTTGGGTCCTTCTGCAGAGGTGAATTTCTAAGGGCTGCATTTAAGGGTGTGAAAGAGGTCAATCAATTTGCATACTCCCCATATTTTAAGAACATGTTTGTTGCAGTCAGAACATAAATGCATCCCAAGACTTCAAGCTTAAGGTCTGGAGAGCAGGACTTTAGGATTCAAGAGAATTTTTAATTTTTGGTCAGTTTAGTGGAGAATGCTGGTCTTTAATAAAATGGAGCAATTACTGTATTACTCGCACAAATCTAATGTTACATTTCAGGGTTTGGATATTTTAATACTCCTTCCACGGTGCCATATTTAATAATGAATGCTGTACTACAGTTCAGGATAAATCTGGAGGTGTGCACATTGGTTTACCACGTTCCCCATCAAGCATACAATCCTGAGATTTTTTAAAAGTATTTTTTCTTTATCCTGCCTTTATTATTTTTATAAATAACTAAGGGTGACAAACATAGTTAAATATTGCTTCCTCCTCCTATTCCCCCCCCCCCCCATAAGAACCCTGTAAGGTGAGTTGGACTGAGAAGGAGTGACTGGCCCAAGGTCACCCAGCTGGCTTTCCTACCTAAGGTTGGACTAGAACTCACAGTCTCCTGGTTTCTATCCTGGTACCTTACCACTAGACCAAACTGGCTGTCCTGTTTTCCTGGGTCTCTTCTGCTTAAGGTGTAGGGAGACCTGCTACAATTTAAAACTCCTTTATTTTTTCAAGATAATTTAATTTTGGCTTGGCACCACCAAATTGTAATCATCTGTATTAATGAAGAACACACACAAACACACACGCCCAGAGACACACACACATATTGAGACGTATGGAAATTATATAATTCTCGAGTATCTTTGCACATCTGGTTCTTAAGCATACCTCACCCTGGCATTAATAAGACTGAAACTATTTATGATATCCCCTTATGAGACATTTTCTCAGCTGTGAGAACTTATGTACAGCAAGTCTCCATCTCAGAGTCATCCACAAGTGTGAGATGTACACCTAAGGAATCATCTGTGTGCATTTAAATAATATAAACCTGACTTTGGGGTAAGGAATATTTACAGAACAAGGCATCTTCAGTATTACTGGATCACTCCCCACCAGTGAAGAGATCAAATGGAGTTCAACTGAGACTGACCACAAGTACGCATTGTTTGGAAAATCTTCAAGTTTACACTCCTCGAGATTTTTCTTCAGTGCCTCTATTTTAATTAGTCCTCTGATTCAGATCCTTGAATTTAGCCCTGCTCTTAAGCACTGTTAAAAGCAGAAACCTTAAACATTACTGTCATTTTGTAATACTTGAACCTCTGGTGCCTTCTTTTGACTTTTAGATGAAAGAGAATTTGGGGGTCAGTTTTTGAGAACTTTCTAACGTAATATGAGAAGTCCTAGTAATTCAAGAGAGTGAACTGTGATATTCTCTCCATCAGTTGAGTTCATACTTACCTAACTCTTCTCTTATACTATGCAAAATCTTTCTTCTAAGTCTCTCTTTGATGGGTTCCTTTGGGTTCATTCTCAAGATGCTTTTGAATTCCACTGTTTTCTATTTGAACTTTGTTACTGGTGTGAAATCCAAACAGATATTCTAATGGAAGAGGTTGATTCCCCTCCCTCCCCCAGTTCATATCTCTTCTTCACTCCATGCCTTCTGAAAAAGCCCCATGAGTTGAATTCTCTAATCAAATCTTCCTGGGGTATTTGACGATAATCTTTGGAAATAAAAGGCTGCCACTTTCTCAGGACATGATTGCCCAAGGAAAGTTTTGGCAGTACGCAGGCATATTCAGGCCACAATAACACAAAGGGAAGTACAACAAGAAGATCCTTACCATCATTTTCTTTCCTTCTAAAAGTGGTCATGACAGTAATTTCTTTCCATCAAACTAAAAGAGACTGTTTGCCTCTGCATTAGGGAAAGTTGCATAGCAACTAAGTGGGATTTGCATTACTTTGGATTGTAGAAAAGTATACAACAATACATAAAATATATTCTGAGTGGTATCATGGTGAAGAAGCCAGTATAGTTTTCTGCAAGGTTTCTCTCTGATCCAATCCAAAAAAGGAACTGTTAAGACTGTACCCAGTGATGGCCCAAGACAATGTGATTCTTCTTTTTGTTTTTGTTATTTCCAGAGCCCTGGATCTGACTGAATCAGAAGCATCTCTGAGAGGCCTCCTTGTTGGACATCAGGAAGAACTAAGAGCAGCCATTGCTACTGGATACAACTTGAGTACCACATTTTGATCTGCTCTTGCAAAAGGAAGAATCTTCTGGAAACCTCAACAGGCTAAACTGGGGCCAGGAAATGGCAGCTGTGGAGGCTCACAAAACATGTATCTTTTCTTGGAAAATCTGTTTTGTCTTTTATTCCCCTCCTTCCCTGCCAGAACCCTCCAATACCCAACCCTGCCTTCAGAAGATGGGTGAAGTCTTCCTTATTTTCCACCCACTTTTCCTTTCTGTGGCTCTGCTGGCTTTCTGGTTTGCTTAATGATAGGTCCAATCCAGTGGCAGAGGGTGTATGTTTGTGCCCCATCCTCTCAACTTCTCCTCTCAAGGGACCCCGGAGGAATTGTACAAGCTGGAAGGCAGATGGAGTCACTGTGTCCCTTGTACAATAATACAAGGCAGAGTCTTCAGGCTTCAAGTTGTTCATCTGGAGAAA